CCACCCATTGTTTGTCGCTTGTCCACTTCAACAACTACTGGAGAACAGGCTGGCGCCGCGCTAAACCTAGCCCTCCTCTTGAAACGCCACAGTGTCTGCAGGAAAAACGACTGTAAACAGCACTGCTACGTGCATCACGCTGTTCGATGAAATCACTGTTATTGATTAGTGACTTTCCATTGAATGCATTTACCTGAAATCCCTTCACTTTGATGAGCTCCTTGAGTCGGTCCACTATGAAGAGGAAATTGTTTTCGTCAACGTAACCGAGATCACCTTAACACTTAAGTAGAGCTTGGTTTTATCTCATGGAAAATAAAAGGAACGCAGAGAAGGTAAAGTAGTAGGTAAAGACACGGCCTACAACCACTGTTAGTATCTAACTAAGCTCTTTGAAGGGGTCTGCGTGCTATCTCGCCGCTCTTTTCTGGCTTCCAGCCTCAGGACCACATCGATTCTTTGCCCCTTGCTTAGCACAGGGAAAGCCTGATTTCGAGCGTCTTCGAGTCCTTACCTAATTAGCTTTTTTGTTCATGAGGAGTCAACTGACACGTACTTTTCTATTACCACCCCGATACCAACAAACTTCTCTCTGGCTCATCGCGAATCATCCTGCCTTTAAGCTATAAAGCTAACTGAGGCCTGAGATATATAACCTTCCACGAGAGTTCTGCTCGCTCTGGTACCTTTGCATAGTTGTAGGCATGAATATATAATTCCCCAATTCACAAACTGACGCTCCATTGAATGGAAGAGGGGTTCTCACTCTTGGGTTAAGAGCTGCTTGCTTTTTTAACCCTATGGATTCGTGCCTGTCTAAACAATTGCAACAATTAACGAATAGTTCCGAGCGAGAACTCAGTAACCTCAATAACTCAATAAAAAAAGCAGCACGTTAGGTAGCAGATTGTAGAAGGTGATAACACGTGATAAGTACTGATACGGATGGTCGAGAAGCAGGGCTTAGTGACACTCATACAGTTGCTAACAGTATACTCCGATTCTCTGAGGTGCGGTAGGCGTGGCCACGCACTTCATTCGAACCTGGTTTTGTGGGGTTTTCCGTTTCAACGCAACTGTAGTCAGTTGCCTTTGTTCAGCGCGAAATTGGATGACAGTTGCCTCAGGGAGAAATATCCCGCGGATAAATCACATCTCAAGGAGTCGTGCGAGTCTCCCGTGGGTCAGGTACCGGAACCCATAGAAGAGTCACTTTACCGTTCAGGCGACAATGATATAAAAGTCAGCTTATTTTCCGTTTTACTCATCTGAATGGCTGAATCGCTGCACTTCTGCTGAGTTAAACGAATTTTCAATGCATAACATATTTTTTCCCAGTTTCAAGTTACGCACTTGAAAATTCGTGTGCGGTAGAACCTTTGAAAAGCAAGCTTTGGAAAGGTTAAATAAAAAACTGATGGAGCGATTGATGGATCCCTTATAGGTTCTTCATCCGTACCAGTAGGCCACTTCCATGATCGCTGTGAGCGGCGAAAAGCCAGTGGTGCAGGATGACTGGGAGACATGCCACGCTCCGGGTATAAAACAGGGCACATCGTTGAGAACCCCCAATAGGGAGGGTCGTATTTGGTCGCCATGGAGCGGGAGGGGGTGTATTTGGGCTGAGAAAAATTTATTTTGATAGTTGGTTTTTCTCGCTTCATGGACGTTGTAAAGGGAGGGGGGGTCGTATTTACGTTTTGGCGTTGTGCCCCTCCCTCCCCCCCCCCCCCCCCCCCCCCTCCCCCCCCCCCCGCTCGATTCGATGAGGAAGGACAGAGGGCTGGGGGGTCGTACCAACTCCCAAAAAAGGGGGGGTCGTATAGAGTCGACTAAAATCCCCAACCAATGATGTGCCCTGTCAAAGATGAAGCACTTTCAAGCCCCTGCTCAAATGAGGTACTGTCCCAAACATGTGAGTTTACCTACGGCAGTATGAACGAGCTCTTGCAACGCACCTGTGTGCAACCACCCATCTCTAATGCAGTGCTCTGTTGCTTCGTCATTGTGAAAATAGCCGCGCATCACAGTTGGACCTCGAAAACAGACCTCCCCAACTTTGCCGGTAGATTGTTCGTTGCCCGTGTCTGGATCAACAATCTGTAATTAATCGGTATTTCGCAGTGCTCTCACCTTGAGTAACTCTAATTAGCTGTCATTGGGGCACCTCCCCTAGTACAGTAGAAAAGATACTCATAAGGAACATGCACATGTTTTGGAGGAGGATGTAATACAAATGTTGCAGCAAATCTAGAGCGATGTTGTTAGGCGCTGTTCACTGACAATGCCGCTTAGGCTGCGTTTATACTTTGCGGCAGCGTGCGTAGCGTAGCGTAGCGCTTCCAGCGTACGCCAGCGGCAGTGCCGGGGAGAGGATGCATATCGATCTAGCGTTCCCAGCGTCACCAGCGTAACTTTGCTAGCGTTTGCAGCGGCAGGGAGTAGAGACTATGTGGCCGTAAGAGACGCGCAATCGATGTGTATTGTAGAGACTATGTGGCCGTCAGAGACGCGGAATCGATGTGTATTGTAGAGACTGAGGGCGAGTGAGAGACGCGCAATCGATGTGTTTTGTACCCTCCAGCTCTCCCATAGTCTCTACTCCCCTGCCGCTGCAAACGCTAGAACGCTGGCGTAACGCTAGCGTACGCTAGCGTTACGCTGGTGACGCTGGGAACGCTAGATCGATATCCATCCTCTCCCCGGCACTGCCGCTGGCGTACGCTGGAAGCGCTACGCTGCCGCAAAGTATAAACGCAGCCTTACTTACTGGGCGAGCTAGTGGGTCTCCTGTCTTTAAAGACACTTCCCGCGCTCAAGCACGTACGAGGTGTCCCTTTCCTGTACAAGTAGTGTGGTCTCAGACTCTTATATTAGCCTACTTCCACGGCTTCACAGAAAGTAACGAAGGCACTGCGGTCCTCAAAAGTGGCACCTGTAACGCCTTCCTAACTGTCCCGCCCCCTGGAACTCGAAGGCAACTTCTTTCATGAGTTCAGTCTTTACAGCACGTTTTTCGTTTTTTCTTTTCACCGTTAGAAAGTATTAGCTTTGCGTGACGCGAAAAAAAAACAAGTAGTGAGCTATAGGTGGCGGGACATCGGCATATAACGAGCAGGTCCGGAAAACTCGTTCACAGAGAGTTCCTACTAGGATGTTCTCTATGATTTTTTTCTGCTGTTTCCTTCTCTGAAAAGTCATTTAGCAGTCGAAAGGATTGGTAGTCGAATGCCACTATTCACACCATGCAATCGCGCGGTTTCTCTTTTAACACATTGAACGCCGCGGCGTTTTTGCGGCGACTCCCGTTTTGACTTCCTGCGTCTCCGCGCGCGTGTATTGAATGCAATACGCGAAACGGGAGTCTTTGTGCCGCATACCCCTTTACACGCTCATTCTGGTCACTTTTGCGCTCATTTCTACATTGTTCAGTATGAATAATGACTTCTTTTTGCTGCATAGATGGATCTGGACAACGTAGAAGATTTAAACGTCAGTTTTTACGACATAAGTATTGGGTTGGCCCACAAGTAATTGAGTTTTTTGGTCACACAATTTTTTATATGAAAAACGACAATTGTTCCCAATATGTTCTACAATGTTTGATAGATAATTTCCTGCTCTATATGATAGTATGGTTGTTCCCTACAATTCATGTTTCCGTTGATTTTTATTTCAAACCATGGAAAATTCGGGTCGCGTGGGGGGCATCTTGCTTGCGGAACCCATCCACTAGGTCTTGAACTTCTTCACTCGAACGGAGGTGATGCTTGATAATGACAAGGAAGTATTCTAAGACCTTTAACGATTCCTCTACCCTTGGCATGATTCTCAGTTAACAAGGTGATTCCGTAAGCTTTCAGTCTGACAGAATAGGGCATTAGGTTCGATGCTTGTCTGTGGGGTCGAAACTGAAATCTTTTTAATTAGGGCATAAATGAGAGGCTGTCGAAAATGCTCAATTTCGTTAACCTGACACCATTTTTATCACTGAAATACTAATGGAAAAAGAAACTTGAAGCAAACTAGGAATACTATTCTGTGGGCAAGGAGCTCTCTGCCAAGTGGTATAAAACCCAGTGGAGAAACTCTTCTTCTTCAGCGCGATATTTTGAGTGAGAAAAAACGCCATTACTTATGGGGCGACCCAATATTATTATCATAACGACTTAAACACTATCAAATGTATTGTAAATTAACATTTGTAATTATCACTAGAAGTCTTACTACCATTGCAGTGATGCGGAGCAATCATAAGAAGTGCAATTATTTGATGTTATTTTTTAATGCTAATGAATTACCCCAATGAGCAGCTTATTTCACGCCATCAAGAACTAAGCATGAGTAAAGCTCATTGAACATATACTCGGTGAGAATGGTTCAATTCGCACTATTATCCACGAAAAAACCGACCAACAAAACGTGAATTGTGGGCAATACACAAACGCGAGAAACGGGAGTATGCGCGTGTATTGATATCAATTCACGCGGCGTTCAATGTGTTAAAGGCAGTTGGCACGATAAATCCCCCAAGACGAGTAGGATTAATACGCCTGGCAGGACGGAATTCCGCGACCCTGAGCAGGCGCTGCATAGCGGCTTTCCCAAGGAAGGTGCCTTTATAAGGTGCCTTCATGAAGCTACAACATTACGACCTGAACGCCCCCGATACGCCCGCCCGCCCACAAATGGACGACCGTTCCTGACGCTCTAATCGATTCATTTGCTAAGCAAATTATGAAGAAGCGAAGGGATGGGTATGAAGCGGCCGTGATGCTGCATGGATATATGAGTACACATATGCAGCCGTACCTTCGGTAGCGGTTATTGGCAAGATGCCTACAGGAAACTCGTCCAAAATTGATTTCTAACACATTGAGAACGGAGGCTCTTTCTTCGCAGGATTTTGACCGTTTCACTCCGTTCTTTCGCCATTTCCCCACTATATAGCGCCCTACTAGCATTTTAGGCCGAGCACCAAATCATCGTGCCAACTGCCTTCAAAGTGCGTGCTCGTCCTTCGTATTTCGCTATAACAATGAGTTCGGCGTTCTTGAATCTGCCGCACCCCGCTTCTTAGAGAGTGTGACCATCGCATGCTGGTTCAGTTGTCAAAATCGACCACACGAACAGAGGGCGCTATCTGTGTGTCTAATCTGAATTGTTTCACTGCTAGGCCAAGCGCAACACATTTTTTTCATTTCCGCGTTCCATTACTTGAAAGATAACAGATAATGTCTCCGCTGTTCATCAAGCCCTTTCTGTGATGCGGCACGCCCTTTACTTTTATTCTTACTTGTACTGGCATTGGAATGCTGCGTAGTCGTAGTCCGTTGACGAGGATAAAATTTTGGCACATTCGTCTGGAGGCCAGACAAATGTTCCATTGTATCCTCTCAGACGAATCGGTACCAATTACCGTCATAGCCCCGGCTAGCGCGTGAACGTGCTTGGCTAACGCGCGCTGTTCGGGGACCCATTCCAGGCGAACGCGTGGGTGAACTGAAATCATGCTGCTAACAAAGTGGGTTTTTCCACAGAAAAACTAGAATGGGCGGTGCAGCAAAGATGTATCTGTTCTGACTTACTAAGTTTTTCTGTAGTAGAGAACTAGCAGCTCCCAAGGACTGGAAAGATCCCTCCACAGTTATCCAGGCTGGCCATGTCTTGCCACTACACCATCTCCTGCCTCACTCCTCTATTTGCGACTTGCAATCGTGTCTTAGGGAAGTGGAAGGATGTGGTGATTCCAGAGGGGCAAACTCCGAGTGTGTCCTTCGAAGTTACTGAATCCCAGGACCCAGAAACCCGGTCTTCTTTTACATCGCACTTCAGCGGCGAGTACCGCGCTTCTGCACTTCAGGGACGTGGGAAATCAGAGCCATAGGTGCTGAGAGAATTACACGGCACATCCTAGAGAAATCAGACAGAACTGAACATTTGACCTAAGCTGCATCCTTTCTCAAAGATCAAGTAATTGATGAACAATACCTTCATCTCTAAATTTGACGCGAGCTGTCCGACGCTTCCGAAAGGTTCGCCAAGGATTGCGTCAGGTAAATGAGTGGCCATCGTCACCTCAGACATGCCGTATGCTGAATTTCTTTCGATCAAGCACACCAATGGAAATGCTTCCTTCAATAGAAATTTGAAATCTCGAAAAGTCTAAATACCTTGTAAGATATATTTGATATTTTTATACATTTCCTGCACTTCTTCGCACAATTCTTTCCCTGCTGGTGCAGCTCCGCACGATAATTTGAACTGCTCGCCCGCTTTTCCCCGAGCAGTTGGTTTTGGGTTAGGGACTACAAGAATGCAAATTTTGATGCCATGAGGGATATTTAAGGAATGTCGATTGGATTGGTTCCTTTAGCAATGTCCAAAGTCTTAACGATATGTATGAAATGTTTTTGGTTATACTGCATCATTCTATGGACATGTTCATCCCATTCAAACTACGAAGCAATACGAATCATCATAATTTACCTAAGTACCTGGCCTCAATGTATAACACCAGAGAAAAGCTCTGGAAAAAAGGGCTGTAGCCTCGCAGACCTCACATGATTGGGATGCCTTTCATATATCCAGTAAGAAATGGTTAAAAAGTCTAAACAAGTACTACGCTTACCTTGAAAACAAAAAATTATCTAAAGGCGGTTCCAAAGCTCTTTTCGCTTTACTCAAGGTAAGACTGGCACAGAAAAGCAATGTAGGCACACTTTTGTTAGACGGCTCCAACAGAGCAATCACGGAATCTGACAAAGCGGAAGCATTTGCTAATACTTTCGAAAAAGCCTTTTGTAAGTCACAGGTGTCTTTACCAGATTTGGGTCGTACAAATTTTAACTGCTGTGGTTCTGCTCCGTGGTTTGATAAGCATTCTATTGCTAAGGTGTTACTGAACTGGACGTCTGCCTCAGCGATTAACTGCGAGAATATTCCTTTCGTCGTTGTGAAAAATTGCATCTATGAAATCTGTGGCCCACTGAATTTCTCTTTAACCTGAGCCTTATGAGGAGCGA